GTTGTACTTTATACTGTACTACATCTCAGAGGTACATATTGTACTTTTTACTGCCGACTTACTACTAACTACTTAGTTAGGTTTAGACAACAAAACTACTTAGCCATTATTTTGACAATGAAAGTTGACGTGTGTGTGTGTGTGTGTGTGTGTGTGCAGCTGTGCTCGGAGCGTCGTCCCGTCAGACACTACTGGTTCACCTCTTGGCCTGACCACCACATCCCACAATGCACCACTCCTCTGCTGAGACTGGTGGAGGAGGTGGAGACGTACAGAAAGTCCCTCCTCCCGACCGGCTCTCAGCCAATCACAGGCCCCGTCCTCGGTCCCGGACCAATCGTCGTCCACTGCAGGTTGGTTCTTTATCAGTTATTATTCAGAGCGCATGTGAGAAAAACTCAGAGTTCATGTTCAATGTTCACATCTGCAAAGTGTTTAAGACCTTATATATAAAACATCATTTTAAAAGCTGTAAACTGTGATGTAGGTTTAAATGTTGAAGAACACATCAAACGACTCCTCCAGTGGTCCTGATGGAGGTCCTAGACTCTGGGATGTGTCTCACCATCAGTGGAGTAGCAGGAAGGAAGGAAAGGAGGAAAGGAAAGGAGGAAAGTTACAAAAACTGAAAAAGAAAAGTGATGCTCTCGTGTGTTTGAAATCATTATTATTTTAGTTTATTATTTTGGGCTATATTTGAAAGATTATAATAAAAAGACAAAAAAATCAAAGTGCAGCTTTTGACACAAATGTTTTCTCACGAGGAAAACTTCTACCGCAAGACAAAAACCTGACAAATATATTTAAAAAATCTGTTTTTAAAATGTTTAAACACAAAGAGGATGTTATGTGCAAAATGTTGACCAGGGATAAATATTCACAGTATGAAGAATTACGTTTGAAAAATGATACGTCACCACGTGTAGAAGTGCAGACTTTACATCAGTGGCCTGCTCACCTCGGGGCCCTGGTGGTCCTGGAGGTCCTGGAGGTCCTGGAGGTCCTGGTTTTATATCTCTCGAGCTGACATTCAGGTCCCGTGTCTCTGTCCTCTCAGTGCAGGTATCGGGAGGACGGGCTGTTTCATCGTCAGCAGTATCGGCTGTCAGCAGCTCAGAGACGGCGGAGAAGTCGACATCCTGGAGACGGTTTGTCAGCTCCGACTGGACAGGTGAGACTCACCTGTCTCTGGTATCAGCCTCTCTGTCTCTCTGTCTGTCTGTGGTGTAACTTTCTGTTTTCTGTCCTAGGGGGGGGATGATCCAGACCACAGAGCAGTACCAGTTCCTCTACTCCACACTGGCCCAGTACAGCTCCCAGTTACAACACAGCCAGGTACTCACACACACACACACACAACCAGTGAACAGGAAGTGACCATATCTGGACTGAGGAGGAGTGACGTAGAGACGCCGTATACGTCTGAACGTTGAAGAAGACTTGAAACTGGAGATTGAGACCATAAACTCATGTTTACAATGTTTACTGAGGTAATAAATCAAGAGAGAAGTAGAGTCATTTTCTCATAGACTTCTATACAACCAGAGGAGTCGCCCCCTGGTGGACACTAGAGAGAATGCAGCTTTGACACATGACCACGATCTTTCTCTGAACCGCAGAGGTCTAGTGTCCTGAACTCCACCAAACGTCTGGTGGTTTAGATGAGAGGACTTTGTCTGTGTTTCCTCTTAACCAGGAGCAGAACCAGAACCCAGAAGACCAAGTCAGCATCCAGCTACAGAACCTTCAGCTGGACGGCACATAGAATGTGAACCTGCAGAACCGACGAGAGCAGGTTCACACCTAAAGAGATCCAGCGGACCTCAGAACCAGCAGAAGACCAATAAATGGAAACAGGAAGTAAAAGCACCTCCTGCACCTTCAGAGTGTCAGGATCACATAGAACTGGATTATTTTGGTCCAGTTCAGAGCAAAGAGACCCTGGAGAACCCAGAACTGAACCAAGCACAAAAAACACAAAATATTGATGAAAATAAAATGAAACAGGATTTTTTTTTTTGACAGAAATTGAAGATTAAAGAAATGATTTCAGTAGAGTTGAACCCAGAGGCCTAACTCTGAGCCACCATGACGGTACCTTGGTTTCTGACTCTTTAAGGTAGCAGTTTGTCTCCAGTCTGAGCTGAAGCTACATCTACTAGTCATTGATATGAACACTGATGGAGCAGAGGACCAATGCTGCAAACATGGTTTCTCCATAGAAATAGAATACAAGTAGAACTAGTGCTTTATCAGCGGGCCATGAAGTGTTGTCTCGATAAGAAGAGAGACCGCTCTGGAGACGGACGGCTGGCTAGTTAGCCAGCTAACGTTAGCTTGTCCTTCTCCAGAGTGAAGCTGCTGTTTGTCTCATTTTCTGTAACCCGTGTAGCATTACAGTATGGTGGAATTAGCAAGCTAGCTAACTAGCCAGCTGTCCACTAGTTAGCGATCTAGCTTGCTAATTCCACCATGCTGTAATGCTACACGGGTTACAGAAAATGAGCCGAACAAAGGTGTCATCTGTTGAGAGCGCTGTTCTTTCTTACGCTGTGAGAAGAGCGTCGATGAAGCATTTGCTTGTTGAATTGTATTCATTTACTCGACTCTCTGCGCTTCGTAACGTTACTCAGTGAGTCTGAAACTTAACCGTCGATCTGTTGTGTTTATGCAGTTCATGCTACACCATCTAGTCTGTAGTGTCATTGTAAACATATAATATGCTATAATATGCTACATTCAGTGAAGTAGTATAACAAGAGAGACAGACCACTTCTGTACAAACACAAAACACCTTCAACAGGAGACCGTGTTCATGTCCAAAGTGGTTTGGACTTATTGTGAAGTTTGGTTCGTGATGTTTGTGACGTGTGGTTCATTTCTCTGAACTTCACTTTCACATTAAAGACAGAAATGTGTCACCGCGACACCCTGAATGTCCTTAAAATGTCGTATTTATAGAGATCGGGTTTGAATAGTTTCTCAGTTGACAATAATTAAGAAACATGCAGAGTGTAAACATGAAATAAAATAAGATATTAAAAGGATTAAAACTGGATTTTGACATAATGTCCCTTTATCGTGTTGGTTTTATTGTGTTTTCCTGTCAAAGATATTTGAAAGTAATGACGACGTGAATAATATCTGAGCTTTAATTAGACTCATGATTGTTTTAACTATTGATGACTGAAGTAACTTTCTCCAATAATCAACTCTTTCAGAAGATTTTAGAAAATAAAATAAATATATCAAATAAATATCACGTTATATTATCCTATAAATAGTTATATGAAATTAAAACACATTTCTTTAAGTGACACATTCAAATGTTTCGTCTGATCAACAAAACACCAAATATTCAGTTTTTGACGACTTAAGAAAAAAGCTGACACACAACGTTATTGTCACACAAATAAAAACATCACATACAAATACAGTACATCATGTCATAACACATGTTCCTCCTCTGTCTCCTGCAGTAACTACTTCCTGTCTATTACATGAATGCTGCAGAGAGCTGGTCCAACGTTACATCTGTTTTCCTGGTGACTTCCACCAAAGAGCAGCTCCGCGTGTTAACACCAGGGGGCGGTGTTTCCCCCACACAGCAGTGTCTGCTTCTGTCTGCTCCTCTCTCCTTCCTCCTCTCCTCCTCTTCCTCCATCAACCCACCCAAACAGGAAGTAGAGCCGACAGCCTGCTCTCACCTCAAACACCAATCAGATTCACTGAGTCCCCTCTGTGTGTAAGACTGAACAGAGCGAGAGGCAGTGAACATGACACAAGTCAAGAAACGTGAATGAGTACATCCCAAGTCTCTTAATTCTCATTTCCTCGCTCCTCGATCCTCGCCTGAACCGGAAGTTGTTCTGCACCGCCATATTGACGGCCGTCCCAAAGCTCTTAGGCCAAATCCCAATGTCCCCCTAAACCCTCAAACCCTGAACCCTCAAGGACTTACTGACGTCACCTGGTGAGTGGGTGAGTGTGAGAGGCTGTGAGGGCTTGAGATGGTGCAGATAGGAACGAGACAGCACTTTGCTGCAACATATCACGTTACTATGAAAATGACAAGAAATATGATGTATAACTGTGTGTATTTATTGTGTACTTTGTACTCCCTGATGTGAACGTCTTCAGGCTCTTTCCTCACTAGATGAGAGGTAATTTCATATCATCTATTTACTCGATTTTGTCAAAACAGCTTCAATGACGAAATCTAATATTTGATGAATAAATAAATAAATATCTTCTGATGTCATGTTTACTTTTTGTTCCATCTTTAACCCTTAATGTTTCTGAGTACATTTAATATGACAGGCTGAACACGTGATCCGTCCTCTTTGTTTACCTTTTTTTACGTCTCTAACGTCACATTGCAATGATTTGTGGGTAATTCCCTTCGGCTAAGTCAGCATACCATGCTGACTTACGGAAAGGGTTCATAAAGGGCTCAAAATGTCTGCGAGAGCCTCAAACACTTGATGCTGTGACAGACAGAACTAAACCCTCACGGACTTCGCGGGAGCGCGCCTCAAAGTCCGTGAGTCCGTCAGGGGGGACATTGGGATTTGGCCTTATTTCTGCTCTGAGGAGAGAGGAGGGATCTCTGAGGAGCCATGAGTGAGGACCCAGGAGAACAGACTTCCAGGAAGTGTTTTAACGGCCGACACGCCCCCTCATTGTTCATCTGTCATGTGATTGGACGCTGCAGCCGATTGGACTGATGAGATTTTGTTCAACATGTAAACAGTGAAGACGGATCACAGAATAAACTCTAGTTTATATTTGATTCGTTTCTGATTCAACATCTGGTTTAAATAAATGTTCATTGTAGTCTGAACAACAAAAGGACCACAAACAACTTTCTTCATTTATTAGAAAGATTTGTGTTTTCATGATCTGAACTTTTATTATGGAAACAATTAAAGTCAGAGGGAACTGGAGAGACGAAACACTTTTTACATCATTTAT